CCCCCCTGCCGAGTCGGCCCAAGGGCCATCTCAGCAGCATCTCTTGTGCCCCCAGCGCATCTCCATCCTGACCTTCAGGCACACCTGCTCTGCCAGCCTCTGTCCCCATCCCACTCTGCCAGCCTGCCGCTCCGCTCCTGTCCCAGCCCACGACTCTCACCTGGTTCTGCCCAGGCGCCTCCATCCTCACCTGCAGCCGGCCTCCCTTCCCAGGTCCTGCTGGCTCCTCTGGCCAGGTGTGCTTTGTGGGGAGTGCTCAGGCGACACGCGCCGTTCAGGCACACCTGCTCTGCCAGCCTCTGTCCCCATCCCACTCTGCCAGCCTGCCGCTCCGCTCCTGTCCCAGCCCACGACTCTCACCTGGTTCTGCCCAGGCGCCTCCATCCTCACCTGCAGCCGGCCTCCCTTCCCAGGTCCTGCTGGCTCCTCTGGCCAGGTGTGCTTTGTGGGGAGTGCTCAGGCGACACGCGCCGCTGGGGCCTGGGCCTCCAAACGGCTACCAGCATTGCCCCAGGGCAGCGAAGCCCAAGATATCAGCCCTGACCCAATGGAGTCGCTCTGCGGGGAGCACTCACGGGCAAACGGCTGCAGGATCCAGCCCCTGATCAGCGTCAGGACCCGAGTGTCCAGATGCGACCGGCTAGCGAGATAACCCTTCGCAGCAGCGCCAGGGCCGGGACGGTGCGTAGAACTCGAAAAGCGTCCGTGTCAAAAATCCAGCCTCGTGCTGCTAAAGGCCCAGGAGTCTAAGCCTCTTGCCTCACACGGCGAGAGCAACGCGGCTGAGAGTCAGCCTTGTGCAGAGGGCGGCACACGGCCCGTGCACCACTGAACTGCGTGGCTGGGGGGTAGAACGGGATACTTCCCTTCAATCAGTGCCCTGAGCTGGCTCGTAGTGACAGTAAGACACGTGTGTGTAACCAGAGGACCTCGGATTAAGGGAGACCAGCAGAAGAATAACGGCAAGGCAGAGTCCCAAGCAAGCGAAAGTAAAGAGACGCGTCTAGGACTCAAGACTGATCTGGGCTTTCTCTTCCCCCCTCCTTCCCAGCCTGTCTGGACCCTTTGCACATCTCACAGTGCGCGGTGCCTTGGCCATGAGGCAGAAGACGACCTCGGGGCACGCGCCCGCTCCCCACACAGACCAGGAACGTGTTCCCAGATAAATTCCTTCTCTCCTGCTGGTTGCAGACACCACGTGGGCTGCGGAAGCCTCCGTGCTGACGTCCCCCTCCCCTCCCAGTTGGTGCTAGATGGGCGACTCTGTCCCCACCCTTGCTAGGCCGCCGGCTTTGGTTGCCTCTCTGGGAAGGGACCGCCACGGGGGCTGCCTAGCGACAGGCTGCTCAGCCAAGCAAATCCACATGCCTTTATCGAGGGCGGGCCGGGCTTCTGCCTAGCTCTCCAAACACCTTTGAGGAAGGTAGTTCTAGCCCGTGTTGACAATCCTTTGTACGCCCCTCGCACACATGCCACACGGTGATTGGCGGGACCAGGGTGTTGCCAGTCCGTGTACGGCCCCTCACCCGACGCTTGTTTGACACAGATTGTGAGGTGCGGTGAGCACGTGAGGCTGGGCAAGAGCAGTGAGCTGCCAACGGGCCTCTCCGTCTCCTCATGTACCGGGAGAGGCCGTGCCAGGAGCAGCGCACACGGCCTGCCTTAGAATGAGGCGCTCAGCCCAGGCCTTATCTGACTTACAAAGCCGGTGTCCGCTTGGGGAGAGATTAGCAGAACCCCCATTTCTTAGCCAACATTCCCTCTCCAAGGAGCGGCTTCTAAAGCCCAGGCTGCCAAGGCGCCCTGCTGTGTGCAGAAGGGGGCGCTGCTTCTGCCTCACAATCGCTGTCCTATCCCACTCTCCCTCCCTGCCCCTTTGTGAGCCGATGGGCTAAGCAAACCAAGCCCCCCACCCCATTCCTACTGAACAAAGCCGTCTCTCTTCTCTCTCTCTCCTTTGCAGATTCTCGGAGCCCTCGATCAAGACGACCAGGCCGGGAAACAGAAGCTCGCCTACAAACTTGAACAAGTCATAACCCTCATGAGCATAGACAGCTGAGAACTGGCCTGCCAGGGCAGCCCTGGGAGGGAAAAACCAAGCCGTGCCTCAGTCAAGATCACCATCTTTACCAAGTGCAAGTGTAAGCAGTCACCTGACCAGCGCGCTCTCTTCCCCTCTCTCCCCACCTCGAGACGAGGCCCCAGGGATTCCTGGGAAGTGGTGGTGGAGGAATCTCAGCTTTGGGGGCTATCGAGACCTTTGGGTGGAGATCTCTGGTTCACAGCATCCCCTTCCTCCCTCCCCCTCCCCCTACCATCCCAGCCGTATCCGGATGGGAAACTGGAAGGTGACCTCCGCCACGCTGCTTTAACTGCCCTCCTGGGCCCATGGCTCGGAGCGGCTGTTTGGAAACAAACTCAGTATTATTAGAGTCTTGCCACAGGGAAGCTACTGTCCTTGCTCGGCCTGCCTCCCGGGATCTCAACCGGGGCAGGAGTGACCCTGGATCCTCCTCCAGCAGAGCCGTTACAGAATCTCGGTCAACCTCAGTCCCGGAGGAGAGAATTCCAGGCACCCCTGGGAAGCTCCGGGGATGTGGCGAAACAGGAGCAGGACCGTCGTGGCACTAGGGACTCTACCTGGGGGAACAGCAATGCGAGCCGTTCTCCAGGGATGGGGGGAAGGAGGGGCCGCCCCCCCTTCGCTTTTCGTACGTTTATTATTATTTTTAAAACAGATCTGTGTCCCTCTCAGTCTTTTCCGGTTTGTCCTGTTGACCGTGTAACTGCGACACGGCGTTCTCTGTCCGGTTGCACCCCATTGGGGATCCTCCTGGCAGTGTCTCGCACCCCGTTTCCAACCACGCCCCTGAGAAGACAAGCCACGAGGAGCCACGTTTCATCCTGGAGAGAAGGGATGTGGCTTGGGAAACCATGACCGCCCAGGAAATGTATATGTCCTACCGCAGGATTTTCATTTGTTTCTTTTCTGAGCTGGAACAAGATGGTTTTTTGGTGAAGGTGGCGGGGTGTTTGCTGCAAAACATGAGGGTCGGCCCGTGGGAGAATGGGTCATAACTTCCTCTCAGGCGGCTCCAAGGAGGAAGTGACCTCGCTGCCGGGGGAAGTGACCTCACACCTATTGGGCCTTTAAAAAAAACAGTACAACGTTTTCTTCTTTAATATTCCAAACAAAATGACTGTTTTTCAGCATCATCTTCCCACCCTTCTCCCTCCTGCTTTCCTGTCCTGTCCCCAGACGTTCCTTGTCTCCCACTCCCGTCTCCCTCCCCAACAAATGGCTCCTTTTCAAAGCCCATCTGGTGCCTGCAAACTGTCTCCCTGCTCCTCCCGTCCCCCGTGCCCGCCCTCTTCTTCCTCCCCTCCCTCCTGAGGTCTCGCTTGTCTCAGAATGGGTAGGGATGGGAGAGGATGTGTGCCTGCTCCCCTAGAATGCCTGAGTCTCTGAGGGCCCAGCCCTCTTCTACCACAGGCGAGACGCGGCCCTCTCCTCTCTCTGTGCGATCGCAAGCCGCTCACTTTGATTTCTCCTCACCTCAGCATGGCAGAGACGCAACCCCAGTGCCCAAACTAGGGAACCTCAAATTTGGCACCTCCCTGAGTGAGGATGGAAGGAGGCACTGGGTTTGCACCCATCCCCTCAAGGACGACGGGAGTGCTTGGTAAGAACGCACACAGGAAGGGACCGGAGCCATCTGTAGCCAGCTGCCTCCATCCACCGAGAATACACTTTGGAGGACGCAGGGAAGAGGACCTCCGTGGGCCTGATGGGGAGGTGACGGTCAGACCCAATCTGGTTTATGTGTCTTGCTCTCAAAGCAAAGGCTCTGTAAGGCAGTGTATCGCCTGGTGGAGGGGGGCCATGGAGGGGAAAGGATTCGTTATCACGATATAAATATGATGGGTCATGGGCATCTACAATCGTCTTCAACTGGGTTGTGAGAAAAAAAGTTTGAAAACCGCTGCACTAGTCTACATAGGCAATGCTTTCTACAGTGGTTAATGAACGATGGCTCAACAGTAGTAAAGAGGCTGGTATAAGATCTATAATCTAACAGCATTGTTTAGGGACACATTTTGTGTTTTAAATACCAGGCATTGTGTGTGTGTGTATGTGTGTGTGTGTGTGTGTGTGATTTCTTTTTGTTGTGCTTGCTTTTTTTTTTTTTATGTTGGTCAACCGATCAACTCATCATGCACCTTATGGACATTTCAACGCTTGCAAGAGGACAGAGTGGGGGCGTGTTGGCTTGGATTGGTAATGTTGTGGTTTAATAATTTGGTTAGGTTGCAGAGTGTCCCAGATCAGATAGTTATGGCAGTGGAATAGAAAGCACCATGGGAGCCAGTGATACGAAAACTCACAAATTGTTTTTTTTAAATACATTAAAAAATTAAAAATGGAAGAAACCAAAGGTTTTGACAAAGTGCCACAAACGATAAACACAGACCTTATTCCCCTGACTTTTATTCCGCAGGATGGTCGGATGGAAGGATAAAAGGTTGATTTAGGGGAGATGAGTGATGGGCAGACAGCTGGTGCTGCTCAGAGATTAATTTTGTTTGCACATGTGAAGGGAGGAAGGTGACATGAAATAAAAAAGGTATTGAAGGAAACGTGTGATTTTGCACAGCCAGAGACGTTCTTTTAAAAAAGGAGGAAAATAAGAGACATGTTCCGGTTCTGTTTGGAGTGGCAGGGTTTTTATGATTTTAATTTTTTTGCGGGTACAGAATTTTTCAACTTTTTGTCACAGAAAAACTCAAACCCCTCAGAGAAATGGCGAGAAGGAAAATCTCCTTGGAAACAGGAATCATTGTGAGCTGCAAACCATGCCCCTCCTGCCGAGGACTTTAAACAAATCTCTGTTTTGCTTCATTTTTATTTTTGTATCTGCGCTTTTGGTGGGTTGGTTTTGCCTCGACAATGTGCCGAAATTGTGCCGTGAATGTGTGGGCTCTTCTCTCCATTCCCATGTGTCCCCCGCCTCCCATGCTCACCGTCCCTGTCCTTACAGTCCTAGGAGATGTCTTGGCTTCTTCCCCCTCAGTAATTTACGTTTATGTGCATGTAAAATACAATTAAAAACAAAGAGACACAAACAGAGGGAAGAACGAGCCTGGGTGTAATCTAGGCAAGTTATTTTCCTGTTTCCTTTGCCTACGTCTTTCCCCCGGCTGCCTGTGACCTCCCAACTGGAGGATATGAGCTACCCATTGAGGATTTGATCCAAAAGCCACTGAAATCCACCCCCCTGGCTTCACCTTAGAGCCCAGAGTTCCGAGTTATGGCGTGGGTGTGCCAGTTAAAGAGCTCTGAATGTCACCTGACGTCACGAGGCAGGCTGAGGGGACTGTGGCAGAAACAGATCCTAGCATGGGCCCGGTGGGGACAGGTAGGGGTTCAGAGTTCATTAGGGGGAACAGCAGCTGGGCGTGGGCATGGGTCAGCCCCACTGCAAAGCACAGCCTACGTGGCCTGGTGCGATGCTCCTCCCTCAGCGTGGCCCGTCTTTCCGGGGCACATCCCGTGGTTGCTTGCGCTACGTAAGATGAGCTGCTCGATGATTCTTTCCTAGGGAATTGTGGGAGAACATGGCTCTCCCACAGGACACACGGGGAGGGGGATTGTGGGACGGCATTGGAGGGCAATCAGCAGTCGAGCGATTTAGCCTGAGTCCTCACAGCAAGGAGAACTGGTGAGAGGAATTTGTGTGTGGACAGGCAGCAGGTTGGGGGCATTCCCTGAGTGACTCAGCAGCGCAGCCATAGTTGGTGGGCTATAAAGGCAGAACCTTAAACACTCAGGCTGTGTCTACATTGGCAAGATTTTGCGCCAAAGCTACTGCTTTGGCGCAAAGTCTTGTCACCAGTCTACACTGGCCGTGAGTACTTGCGCAAGAACACTGACGTTCTAATGTATAAAATCAGTGCTTCTTGCACAAATACTCTGATGTTCCCGCTCAGGGATAAGCCCTCTTGCACAACTGTTCTTGCGCTAGAGGCCAGTGTAGACAGGTAACGTTAATTTCTTGCGCAAGAAAGCCGGATGGCTAAAATGACCATCGGAGCTTTCTTGGGCAAGAGAGTGTCTACACTGGAACGGATGCTTTTGCGCAAAAGCACATCTCTTGTGCAAAGGCACGTGCCAGTGTAGACGCTCTCTTGCGCAAATACTTTAACGCAAAAACTCTTGCGTTAAAGAGTATTTGCGCAAAATCTTGCCAATAAAGAGTATTTGCGCAAAAACTCTTGCGTTAAAGAGTATTTGCGCAAAATCTTGCCAACGTGAAGCGTTGGGCTGATACCAACACAGGAGAAGCCCTTTAAACTCAGCCACGCTCCTCTTCCTGGCCAGAGGGGACTGACCCAGATAAAAGTCCTGAGCAGATAAAATTCATAGGCCAGCTCCTTAGCTGATGTATGCCTGGGGAGCTCCACTGGCTTAAAGGAGCTGTAGCACCGATTTACACACATTAAGGCTCTGTCCCTTTTGACCACCTCTTTGTCTCATTCAGTCAGATCTCGTCTTTGCCAGCTAGTAGTTGGATGGTAACTATTATCAAAATTGCCATGCCTGCTAATTGCATCTTAACCATCATCCCCAAGTGGAGCCTCTTACCCTAATGAGAGATGGACAGTTAAAAATACTAGTTTGGGTAATTAACAGTGATAGAATTTTTAAATATTTTTCAGCAGTGGTGCAGAGAGTCAGCACAAGGGTTATGCGCCACTCCCTTCAGTCCACGGGCAAATGTTATCGGTGACAAAGAGACACAGTACCAGGAAATGGCAGCTGATGCCCAGAGGAAATGGACTAATTAGAAAACAGCTTGAGCCACAAAGTTTGGATCTGTCCCTTCCAAACTTTAGGGAAGGGCTTTGGATGGGGCCATCGTTTTGTGGCATGGTCCCCCAAGAAACGTGCTGGAAACCCAAATAGATGGAGTCCAGTTATATTGGGCTGCCAATAGCATTGAATTGTGACTATCCAGGGAGCCCTCACATACAGGGAACAAGCCTGCACTCACAGAGGGACGGACAAAAAACCTCCAATGATCCTTGTCTTTCCTACCTCTAACTTCTATGCTGATTAGTTTGACAGGTCGGCACTCAGCGGCTGCTGGAAGAATATGGTCAGAACTTCGTTCTTGTAGCCTACTGCTCTTTTTGAACATTGGGATTTGGAAAAAAGACTTTAAGCAACCGCTGGAGCCTTAAAATCATGAGAGGCCATGATGCAATGCTTATGGAAGTCAGTGGAAATGTTCCCATTGACTCCGGGGCGGGGGGGTTGGATCAGACCCTAATGACAGCCAAAAAGTGACAGGCATTTCCTACGGGGATTGATTTTTTTCCAGCTCTAATTATCTGTGATTCAGTCCCTGGCGAGTGTGGCAAGACAAACAGAAAAGTCAGGGTGAGGAGAATGAACGGTGTGTTTCCTCCAGCGGAGACGTCCTTGCTCAAGGCGCCGTCAGTTAAACCTGTCTGAAATTCATTGAACGTTGAGGTCTGAAAAATAAATGTCAGCAACACTGTAACTACATTTACCCGTCCCCCTACACACACACACACACACACACAGACTTGGTTTTTTTTTCCTTATTTGACCAACTCTAGCAGCTACAAGAACAAACTACCTATGGAAATGAGGGATTCTCTGTCTCTTAGGATGCCTCTACACATCAGGGCTGAAGCCGAAATAGGCGACGCAACTTGAACTACGGCAGTTGCCTAGCTGACGTCAAAATAACTTATTTCGGCTTTTGGCGCTGTCTACGCAGCAGGAAGTGCGAGTTGGAGCACTCTTCTCTGACTTCCCTTACTCCTCGTACAATGAGGCTTACAGGAGTTGGAGTAAGAAGTCCTCCAGCTCGACATTATTTCCATATTATGTCAAAATAAGTGCCTGCTGTGTAGAAGTGGATGATGTTATTTCGCAATAACATCAGTAATTCCAAAAGATCACTGCTGTGTACACATAGCTTATTGGTCTTGAAATCCAGAGTAGATGTGTGTCTGGGAGCTATACTTTCATCAGATACAAATTAGGGGGCTAATACACACAAAACAGGGTGAAATTCAGGGGCCTGGGTATACTGTGTCCAGTTTTGATCAACAATGTATAGACAGGATGTAGAGAAACTGGAAAGGGCGCAGACGCGAGTGACAAACCTGATCAAAGGGGTGAAATGCAGCCATACGAGCAATGGCTGAAGACACTGTGTATATTTAGTTAGGAGTTAAAGAGGGGGTGATCTTCAAATGCTTGAAAGGCTGCCATAAAAAGATGGAGAAACCTTGTTTTCCCCATTCACCGAGGGCCGGACAATAGGTGCAAACTGCAGCCGAGCAGATTTTGATGAACTCTCAGTAAAAACTGTCCTAAGTGTAAGAAAAGCAAAACCGGCTTGCTGGGGTGATGGTGGAAGCTTCTACACTGGAGGTTTTCCAAAGCAGGCTGGACAGTCTGGAAGGTTTAGACCCTTGGCAGGGAGTTAGACTAGCTGTCCCTTGCATTTCCATCTAACCCTAAGGTTCTATGATATAGGAGGTCAACCTAGGTGATCTGATGCTTCCTTCTGGCCTTATGAATCTATGAGCTAGTGAATATGGCTTGAATGTAAAAAGCTGAGGGAAAAAATGTGTGACGTTTTGGGGGGAAAGATTGCGACAGGTTTTTCCTTAAAAAAAAAAATCATCAGGCCTCGCACATGGCAGTGACCCTCTTGACATTTAGAAGGGCCTATTTATCGGCCATACAATGTTACTGGTGTCCCGTTAACGTTACCTGGTAAATTGAAATGTAGACGCAGGCTTGGAAGCTTTCCCCTGGCCACAATAGGGACAAACTCAGGTCAAGCTTATGGAGGCTTAAATGAATCGTTCTGAATCTAGGAGCTTGCTCATCACCAAAGTTTTGAGCCATCTATCCAGACAGCACCTCCCCTTCCCCCCCTGAAGCTGCTTGGCCCCCTCTTCTTGATTGTGCAGTTGCAGGGAAGAAAGTGTGCTATGGAAATGCGTGTGCCTGCCCCAGAAGGGGACGTAGCGTGACTACCAGGAAAAGATCTGCCTGGCCCAGATCCTCCACTGGTGTAAATCAGGACATGGGTGCTCCACTGAAGTCAATAGCACTGCTGCCTGCTTGGGGATCTGGGCCCACTGCCTCTACCAAAGAGGTTAAGCCAGCTGGGATGGAACCCGGGGGAGGAGCTTTTAGTGGTCGCCTACCATTGTGTGGGGGGGGGCGTTCCCTGCTAACATCAAAGCTTCTATGAGTCACAAGACCCTCCCACCGACACTGATTGGTGCGTGCCAGCAGACTGAGCGTGCTCAATGCAGCCCCATGCCATCACAGCGCATGGCATGCGTTAGGCACACGCGGACAGGACAGTTGGGAAGCCAGGGCGTGATGCATGGTTCAGGATGCAAACAAGGACCCCTTGCTGCTGGGTGTCATCACACCTCCATGAGCATCGTGTGTGGGGTGCATGCCCCTTCACATCCTCATTCGCTCCCCCTTTCTTTCCTAGTTTTGACATAGCAGCTGTTCCTGTCGCACCGGTCTAGTGGGGTGCTCACAGTGCCAGCAATGCCACGGCCTCCTTGTGTGGCCAAGGTCTTAAACCTCTCTTCCCCACTCTGGAACAAGATATTAACAGTGCGCTGCTTTGCCACAAGGTCGGGAGGGGGCGTGAGGGTTTGCAACGTACTTTGACCATGGGAATTGCTAAGTATTAAGGATTATTTTGGGCCAACTGAGCTCTTGACACTGATTTACAGGGTCTTAGAAGGGTCCTGGCTTAAGGGGGGAGAATTCGTTTGCAGAATGATGTAAAAAAAAAAGATTTAACCCAGAAAATCTTTCAAAAAATAAGAGAGAGAATATAAAGCTGCTTACGCTGCTCACGAGTGTGATTTTTGTTGTTGTTGGCGTTGTTTGTTCGTTGGCTTTTCGTTAACCTTCTGTTCTAAAAATGGAGCGTTTACCTCAAGAATTTGTTTCTGCTTGGAAACAGATCGCCGTCAAGCGACTTTCCACTGGGAGCAATGTTCAGGGAGGGCAGGGAGAGGGACCCGTTATATTAAAAGGAGGGAAAAGAGGCTACGGTGAGCAAATTTCTGCCTTTTCCTTTGGGTGAAAATATGCATGTGATCAGATCCTGAGACAGGCTCCTTCAGAGTTTGCCGCAGCTTCGCTGTCTCCGGGTTCAGCTTGTGAGCAGTTTTTTCATTCTGCTCTCCAATCCCTCCGCTGGGTTCCTCCTCTCTGCACCCTGCAAGCCAGCTGCTTTCCTGGGATGTGGACGGAGGGTCCCAAGCTCTGCATTGCAGCTTTGTCTGCACAGTTGCCGAGGGGAGGCAGAGATGGGCTAAAATTATGCCCGGTTGGCCACTTGGGCCAGTTTCTCCAGCCAATGTAGCCGACTGACATCACCACAGCCACACACATTTCAACCAGCTGCTTGCACCATCTAGGTTCTGACAATTGAACTGCCCAGCCCAGAACCCCCAATGGGTCTGATTTGCAGATCCAGATCAATCCACTGTCTAGAAGATCCTCTTCTACCTCTAGACTCCCAGGTTCTGCTGATTGAACACCTCCAGGTACAGAGAGTGGGACTCTGAAATGCTGCTCCCCCAGGGCCGAATGTCAGGCCCGAGGTTCTCAGAGCAGAATTTTGCCAGAGGAGTGGGATGCTGAGCCGGTAAGCAGATAGTGCGCCAGCTGCATCCTTGCACAGCAACTGTCATGGCCAAACCTGTGCAGGAAAAACCTGGGTACACGCTGTTGTTGCAGGGGGGAGGGATAGCTCAGTGGTTTGAGCATTGGCCTACTAAACCCAAGGTTGTGAGTTCAATCCTTGTGAAGGCCATTTAGGGAGATGGGGTAAAAATTTGTCAAGGATGGTACTTGGTCCTGCTGTGAAGGCAGCAGACTGGACTCAAGGTCCCT